TTTTGTCATCTGCGAAATTGTGGTGATAATAACATATTTGATATAAATAAGTGTACAAAAGAAACTTCCAGCGGTTATTTACTAATTAGAATGATAGTTGCCATGATGTATTTATTATACCATTTGGTGTAGAATTGACAAAGAACAACATACTAACCGAGACGATTGCCGAGGTCAATATATATTCTTATATGCCAAGTGAAAAGAATATTTCAATTACAAAAAAGGTCGCCATGGGTTTAAAAGCTTCTTTGGTTTTCTCGAATTAAATGCCATTTACAATGGCATACTCTTTAAAATATCTATTTAAATCAATCGTGATATGCGGATAATGTTGCTTTGTTATAATGTTCATCGGTTTTAATCTGCTCCTCTTTATAAAACGTACCCATTGGAGTTCAGATGTTGTCATGTTTTACAAGTCGTAAGACAAACCTTAAAAAATAGCTCTACCACTCCGATGGATACTGTTGTTGCTTTCCTTGTTTTTAATCTGTCTTATAATTTTTAACACCCTCGTCACTGATGGTAGCAAATCATTTTACATTCCCAAGTGCCACCAACTGAAAAGTCTGAAGACGCTATTGTTATTCTACTGCACAACGGTCTGTCCTTAATGTTTAAGATATTTACAATTTCTATTTTTTAAATTTTGATAATCAAGACAATAAGAAGTATGTTACTCTAAAGTGAAATAATGATTAATTTATATAAGGAATATACCAGATAAGTAACAAAGGACGCCCTTTCAGCCTCCCCCTTCCCTGCAGATTCTGAGGTTTTCTTCATTGTATTCTACTAGGAGGACAAAGAAGTGACCAACATTGATCTGCTGCCCCTATTGCAACACTTGATGTTGTTTTGTTTGCTGTTTCCTGTCTACTGACATCCCTATCTACTTTCCCTTTCCAGCGCTGTCTCCCTAGGCGTTCGTACTCCTACGACACTTATTATTGTTTTGTTTACTATGTTTCCTGTCTACTGACACCCCTATCTACGTTCCCTTTCCAGCGCTGTCTCCCTAGGCGTTCGTCCTCGTACGACACTTGATGTTGTTTTGTTTACTTTGTTTCCTGTCTACTGACATCCCTATCTACTTTCCCTTTCCAGTGCTGTCTCCCTAGGCGTTCGTCCTCGTACGACACTTGATGTTGTTTTGTTTACTATGTTTCCTGTCTACTGACACCCCTACCTACTTTCCCTTTCCAATGCTGTCTCCCTAGGCGTTCGTCCTCGCACGACACTTGATGGTGTTTTTTTTACTATGTTTCCTGTCTACTGACACCCCTACCTACTTTCCCTTTCCAGTGCTGTCTCCCTAGGCGTTCGTCCTCATACGACACTTGATGTTTTTTTGTTTTGCTATGTTTCCTGTCCACTGACACCCCTACCTACTTTCCCTTTACAGCGCTGTCTCCCTAGGTGTTCATCCTCGTACGACACTTGATGTTGTTTTGTTTACTATGTTTCCTGTCTACTGACATCCCTATCTACTTTCCCTTTCCAGCACTGTCTCCCTAGGCATTCGTCTTCGTACGACACTTGATGTTGTTTTGTTTACTATGTTTCCTGTCTACTGACACCCCTATCTACTTTCCCTTTCCAGTGCTGTCTCCTTAGGCGTTCGTCTTCGTACGACACTTGATGGTGTTTTGTTTACTATGTTTCCTGTCTACTGACACCCCTATCTACTTTCCCTTTCCAGTGCTGTCTCCATAGGCGTTCGTCCTCGTACGACACTTGATGGTGTTTTGTTTACTTTGTTTCCTGTCTACTGACACCCCTATCTACTTTCCCTTTCCACCACTGTCTCCCTAGGCATTCGTCTTCGTACGACACTTGATGTTGTTTTGTTCACTTTGTTTCCTGTCTACTGACACCCCTACCTACTTTCCCTTTCCAGCGCTGTCTCCCTAGGCGTTCGTCTTCGTACGACACTTGCTGTTGTTTTGTTTATTATGTTTCCTGTCTACTGACACCCCTACCTACTTTCCCTTTCCAATGCTGTCTCCCTAGGCGTTCGTCCTCTTACGACACTTGCTGTTTTTTTGTTTACTATGTTTCCTGTCTACTGACACCCCTACCTACTTTCCCTTTCCGGAGCTGTCTCCCTAGGCGTTCGTCTTCGTACGACACTTGATGTTGTTTTGTTTACTATGTTTCTTGTCTACTGACACCCCTACCTACTTTCTCTTTCCAGCGCTGTCTCCCTAGGCGTTCGTCCTCTTACGACACTTGCTGTTGTTTTGTTTACTATGTTTCTTGTCTACTGACACCCCTACCTACTTTCCCTTTCCGGAGCTGTCTCCCTAGGCGTTCGTCTTCGTACGACACTTGATGTTGTGTTGTTTACTATGTTTCCTGTCTACTGACACCCCTACCTACTTTCCCCTTCCAGCGCTGTCTCCCTAGGCGTTCGTCTTCGTACGACACTTGCTGTTGTTTTGTTTATTATGTTTCCTGTCTACTGACACCCCTACCTACTGTCCCTTTCCAGTGCTGTCTCCCTAGGCGTTCGTCCTCGTGCGACACTTGATGTTGTTTTGTTTACTATGTTTCTTGTCTACTGACATCCCTACCTACTTTCCCTTTCCAGCGCTGCCTCCCTAGGCGTTCGTCCTCGTACGACACTTGCTGTTGTTTTGTTTACTATGTTTCTTGTCTACTGACAGCCCTACCTACTTTCCCTTTCCAATGCTGTCTTCCTAGGCGTTCGTCCTCTTACGACACTTGCTGTTGTTTTGTTTACTATGTTTCTTGTCTACTGACAGCCCTACCTACTTTCCCTTTCCAATGCTGTCTTCCTAGGCGTTCGTCCTCTTACGACACTTGCTGTTGTTTTGTTTACTATGTTTCTTGTCTACTGACACCCCTACCTACTTTCCCTTTCCAACGCTGTCTCCCTAGGCGTTCGTCCTCTTACGACACTTGCTGTTGTTTTGTTTACTATGTTTCTTGTCTACTGACACCCCTACCTACTTTCTCTTTCCAGCGCTGTCTCCCTAGGCGTTCGTCCTCGTACGACACTTGCTGTTGTAAGGACGTTAAACTCCAAGCAAACGGTTGGCTGTAGCATCCTAGGACTCTCAGCTTGGTCATGCGGCATGTTTTCACTCCTTTTAAAAACACACCATACTGAATGAATCACAAAATATATAGGTGACTACCAACATGAAACATGGCTAGTCATTATATTTCACTTTCTTATGTGCTGTCATTTGATAACAAGAATTGTTTTTTACTCGTCGGTCGTATATACACGTTCCCATCCGAGCATAAAACCATACACGCTACAGACGCTTCTAGCTTAGCGGCTTCGAGATTACAACATGACTGACAACGACGGATTTTATGTACATGATAATAGTTACTATCTTGATTTTGCCGATCCTCAACCTTCCTTTTCCTGATAGTAACATTCGTGTGTCTCCCACTTGCAGTGTAACCATACCACAGTCGATTCGATATTCACAGGCTCGCTCCGAATATCATGTGGATTACAGACAGGGTTTAGGTTGCCATCGCGATCTCATTGGGAAGCCATAATTTTTCTTTGTGCAATATGTAAAACGACTTTAGTAAGCTCAAACGTCTACCCAGTGGTTTTCTTGTCGTTACCCGTTCTCCCTTCAAGAACGTCAAGAGTACAGTTGTGTATCGGTAACTATAAGCTGGACATGAACAGAACACGGTTTTGTAACGGTGCACTGCATTATCTTGCACTTCCCGTTGACGTTTTATCATTGCCGTATATATCTACATTTTTCCTTTTGGTATAAAACAAGTAAAACATCCTACCGACTGCTGAGTAATGTTGGATATACGTGTAACCTTACGAGTAATGTTTGATATACGTGTAACCTTACGAGTATTGTTTGATATACCTGTAACCTTACGAGTAATGTTTGATATACGTGTAACCTTACGAGTATTGTTTGATATACGTGTAACCTTACGAGTATTGTTTGATATACGTGTAACCTTACGAGTATTGTTTGATATACGTGTAACCTTACGAGTATTGTTTGATATACGTGTAACCTTACGAGTATTGTTTGATATACGTGTAACCTTACGAGTATTGTTTGATATACGTGTAACCTTACGAGTATTGTTTGATATACGTGTAACCTTACGAGTATTGTTTGATATACGTGTAACCTTACGAGTATTGTTTGATATACGTGTAACCTTACGAGTATTGTTTGATATACGTGTAACCTTACGAGTATTGTTTGATATACGTGTAACCTTACGAGTAATGTTTGATATACATGTAACCTTACGAGTAATGTTTGATATACGTGTAACCTTACGAGTAATGTTTGATATACATGTAACCTTACGAGTAATGTTTGATATACGTGTAACCTTACGAGTATTGTTTGATATACGTGTAACCTTACGAGTATTGTTTGATATACATGTAACCTTACGAGTGTTGTTTGATATACGTGTAACCTTACGAGTAGAATTAAAATCGGTGTAGGTTATTTGCATTACGGATATCTATGCATACAACGCATCAGAGACTGCTTCCCTGATTCCTCTAATATATTTTGAAATTACCAGTTGCGGATTTTTTGAATGTCAACTCCAATTGTCCATCAAATGTGAAACATTTTATATTGAAATGACGTAAAGATAACCAAATCCAGTTGTATTGATGTCTTTTTCCAAGGAAAGTGATTTTCTGTTATGATACTCGGCCAGTCTTTTTAAAATAACTCATATAGACTTTCATTTGTTAGCCTTTGGATTACCGTTGCTCTGATATGCCGGAGTATAATGTATGGTTCCCAGCCCGATCATTAGCCAGCACTTGTAATTATTATACGGCTTGCAGCACTTACTTACCTAGCAGTGTACAAAATCCGCCCATAGCAGCCACGGCCGGTCAGTCTAGTTCCGTTAAAGGCGGGGCTTCCGCAGTCACGTGTTTGATAATTGCCAATGATTGACGGATGATGCTGAAAGGGGATTGAGTGGGTATATTAGGGTGATGAAGTCGTTATCCAGTATTGTGGAACTTTGGAGCTAGCAAGTGACATTTGATTCGCGTGCTCACGATGACACAACTATCAAACCTTCTTGTAGTGTTAGCGGCAGTTCCGCTGGCATGGGGCCAACACAGGTAAGTGAAAACTAGATATAAAAACATGTCTATTTTCTCATTTAAACATATGCAATGCTTTCTCTGTGGTTTCGCTGTATTGTAACACTAGTCGATACAACCTCAACTGGACACTAAACAGTGTTTAGGTACAATGTTCCTTTAACCTTGTCTGAGTACAATGTTCATGACAGCCTTATTCTCAGCGCAATGTCTCCTGGTCATTTAAGTTTGAATATAATGTCCCCGGGAATCCAACTTCAATGTTCCTTATGTTTACCCGAGTACAATATTCCTCGGTAGCCTACGATTGTTTGAATGCAATGTTAAGGATAATATACTGTGTTCTAAGAACTATTATCCCGGTGGCCTTTGTTTATATATCATGTATATATCTTTTTCGTGTAGCGTACAATCGGCGAACTGTGTTCCGGGCAACCTATGTTTGAGTACAAAAATCTTAGTTGCTTAAGGTTATTTGAGTTCAATGTTCCCAGTTGCTTAAGTATATTTGAGCACAGTGATCAAGTTGCTTAAGTGTATTCGAGTACAATGTTCCCAGTTGATTAGGTATATTTGCGTTCAATGTTCCAAGTTGCTTAAGGTTATTTGAGTACAATGTTCCCAGTTGCTGAAGGTTATTCGAGTACAATGTTCCCAGTTGCTTAACGTTAATTGAGTATAATATTCCCAGTTGCTCAAGTATATTCGAGTACAATGTTCCAAGCTGCTTAAGTATTCGAGTATAATATTCCCAGTTGCTCAAGTATATTCGAGTATAATGTTTCCAGTTGCTTAAGTATATTTGCGTTCAATGTTCCAAGTTGATTAAGGTTTATTTGAGTACAATGTTCCAAGTTGCTTAAGGTTATTTGAGTACAATGTTCGCAGTTGCTTAAGGTTATTTGAGTACAATGTTCGCAGTTGCTTAAGGTTATTTGAGTACAATGCTCGCCGTTGCTTAAGGTTAATTGTGTATAATATTCCCAGTTGCTTAAGGTTAATTGAGGACAATGTTCTCAGTTGCTTAAGGTTATTTGAGTACAATGTTCCCAGTTGCTGAAGGTTATTCGAGTACAATGTTCCCAGTTGCTTAACGTTAATTGAGTATAATATTCCCAGTTGCTCAAGTATATTCGAGTACAATGTTCCAAGCTGCTTAAGTATTCCAGTATAATATTCCCAGTTGCTCAAGTATATTCGAGTATAATGTTTCCAGTTGCTTAAGTATATTTGCGTTCAATGTTCCAAGTCTCTTTAGGTTATTCAAGTACAAAGTTCCTGGTTTGCCATAGTTTATCTAATTACAAAGTTTCCAGTTTTTACATTTGATTACACTATTCCCGATAGTCCATATTTCCCTATGAGTACAATGTCCCTAGAAGTACGTGTTTAACGCATAGGAACGATTTGAACGTTGAAGAATATGAAGACGAAATAAGCCCCACGAAAGCTTGATGTCACATCATGCTTGTTTTATATATCAGAATTTACAGTCAAAACTTTTCGTGCTTATATTGGTTTGAAATTGTCATAAATGCCTTATTCACAACCAGATACGTGTGCTAATTGCGATCTTAATTAGATTGCCGATTTTGATATGGGAATCAAAATATTTACTGAAATATTCTGCCACTTCAGAAATAAGCGATTCGTTAGGAAACAAAAAGCAATTGTGAAATCATTTTGTAACAGTTCATTGCATTCCTGGTAGAATCATATTCACTTTATTCCTTCACATGTTTTTAACTGTTACGTCATAATTATGAAATGCTATTGACGTCAGAACAGAGTGGTAAATGATAAATATAATCATACACTAGAGTATGATAAACATGATCTTACAATTAGGTGCTTTATATCTTTTTAGATCTTAATTGTAACAAATTTGCACATTTCACACCACAATAAGCTCGTGGTGTCAGATGTGAGGTATTCACTATGAGCCCTCTCGGAAGATATTATGTACAATATATCCTTTATTATGTACAATATAGCGGTGAGTACCTATATAACATGCACAGTGTGTTTCCTCATAAACCGTTTTCTCGTATTGTCATTTACACGTTTTAAAACTTGAATTGGCAATTATATATATTATACACATTTCCTGTTGACACTTGGATTAGCACATGAACTCGAAATGACACATACGTATGCAATGACAGTTGTATTGACACACATACTTTCTGATGAATTATAAGTTATCTGTCTATCAGTTTATATTAATATTTTTACTAATAGTTTACATTTGCAGATTTGTGTTCGCAGTTTTTGTAATAATTGAGGTGTGTTTGGTATCCTGTGTATACTGTTAGGGGATATTGATGAAAATGTCTACTGTCCCTGGGCCATCATTTCGGAACGATTTTTCTTTTTGTATTTCCCAGCTGTTTTTTCACGTTGGTGCCTCACTGGGCACCTTTTTCCACAGACTGTTACTGGTTGCGAAGACGTTAAATAGGAAACTGGTCTTGGCTACGTAGATCACCTATGTAGATTGTTATTCCCTGCTTAACGTTCAGCATTAAGGGAAATAGCGACAACACGATAACCTGTTGCCATTATAAAGTAACCAGACGGAATGTTGTGATGGGTGCCTTTGGCATGGCATTTCAGTGAGATAGCACTTTAAAGCCGGCATCATCTCCGCCCTATCACAAGGAAGCAAGTGCACCAATATACCCTCTCTCCAGCACACACATACGCAAATGAACGGAGGCACGTCCTTAAATGACCAGCTGTTAATAGGGCATTAAACAATATAAAACCAAATCCTTTAAACGACACAAAGACCTCGTGTCATATATACCATGTTAATGACAGACCTCTTAACACACGTCTGTAATCTGTCACAAAGACCTCGTTACAAATATCCGATAACGGCAGGATATTCATATTGTCTTTTTCTTACGTTCATAATCTTAACGATGGTGTTTACCTAGCCACTTGTCTTAATTGGTTCCTTCTTACTGTTGTAAGGACGTTGAACTAAAAACAAACACAATCCTGTAAACGTCACAGAGACCTCACTACAGAAAAGATATGTAACTGGAACAAACTTAATGTATTCCTCGTCAGGCACCTTGTGATGATTAGCGTCATTCAACTTTAAACAGGAAGTAAACTGTGGATTTTTCGTCATCAGATAATCTGTCTATAATTAGTTAAGCCTACTGAACAGGGCCAGGAAAGTTTCCGGTGACAATCTAATTATAAATAACCATTGTTTTGTCGAGAAACCGTTGAGTGGATTAAAAAAGAGGACCGCACGACATGTGATTAACATCCCTGTAGGAGACACCTTTGTAATTGACTACAACTTATTTGTTAAACTTCTTCCTTATAATGGATTGCTACAACTTTGCTGAAACGGTATCCATTAATACATCAACATGTCTGTGGGATGGTCCTGACTCCACTGAACATCGACCAAAAGATATAAATCTGTTTGACTAAAACACAGCTAATTGTGGTCTATGATATATGATTTCTTTTAAATTGGTATTCGTTATTTTATCCAGATGTATCTAATGCATTACTAGATCTATTGTCTGTTAAAGCAATATATTTATTTAATTCCATTAAATCATTTTAGAACAACTTTTAATTCCAATGATGCCTGCTGCACATATTGATGGAGATGTTCCTTGATCGCTCAATGGCCATGGTGTACATGTATTACATTTGATCGGTTGCATTGAAAAGAACAACATAGAAACCTGGGAACTAGTTCGTTTTTCATAGTTTTTTTATTATAACATAACAAATTCGCGTGCGTAATTTTGTTTCATAGATATTGTCAAGTTTTATAATTTTGTCTTGAATCTAACTATACATATCAACAGAAACAATGTAAAAACTTCTGTGTATGCTTATGAATATATAATAAATCATTACTTGATATATCACTGACATATTCTACATCAACACACACTTGCACGTATATAAATATCAAATCAATAGACTAACGAATTAATTCACAATAATCTAATGTGTAAGTATAAATGATGTGCTCCGTGCACTCGGCAAAGGTTTTAGTGAGGTAGCACTATAAAGCCGGTCACAGATCCAAGCTATCACAAGGAGTCATAATCACCAATTTCAGCACATATACACGCATGCACGCAAATATTATAAACATGGAGACATGTCCTAAAAGGACTTTAGCTGTAAAACCCACTAAAAACAAACCAATGTACAAAGTCGCACCTGACGTGATACGGCTAGGTATGGGACAATGGGTTTGAAATGCTCTGGGCAAGTAAATGCGACAATGGCAAGAAAAAGTCCGCATGGACAGAGATACGTAAGGATAAAAAATACAAATAATTAATATGTAATTATTTTAAGCAAACTTACAAAGATATATGCAAAAAGAAACAACCTATAGTTTGTACATACATGCATATAAACAAGCCTACAAGCAGGGTATGTTATTGTTTTATTGTTGTATTGTTTAACGGCCCATTGCCAATGTAAGTCATTTAGGGCCAAACAACACGGTAAAAAGAGACATTTACAAAAATGAACACATCAAACAAAAACTTTAAGTTTATTTTAGACAAGTGTGACATTAAAATTTTAAAAAAGTGAAACGTCTCGATATCAAAGTATTACATTCGCGCTCCAGACAGGTAGTACCACAGGACAAACGACACATTGGGTTTAGTCCTTAGCTTCCATAGAAAAGAACATATGTTTTAGAGTTATTTAGTTCAAATATGTACATAAAATTGACTGCAAAAACATTATCAAGACTGTCCCAAAATAAAAAGACAATTTACAAAATAATGTAAATAGAAACATTTGTTTTCACTAGATGATAAAGAAATGTTAAGGATCCCCTTATCGCAGTCATACCTTTTATCAGATTTTCACATATTTTATTTGTTTTACGAAACTTCAATCATCTGAAACGATCAATAGTCCGAGAGAATGGAATCAGGGTTGAATGTAAGGCAACGTATTTGAAACCTAATGCTGAATACGATTCCTCTTTACTGCAGAAGAACTGAAAT